CGTCTTATATTTAGGGTCTAGACTTTGACATGTCAATAATACATCCACAACAATAGGTGGCGCCAAATATGCATAAAACGAGTGTGCCATGAAATACGTAATGTAATGCGTGTTGTAAAGATCGCGAGTAAAAACAAAAGAAGCAGAAAAGCTTACAGCTGCATGAGTCGTGACTGCCACGTGAGCCTGATGGGACCAAACTCTCTTTGTGATTTTAAAACGTAAGACAGTACCCAGATTTGAAGACTACAGTAAGATTTAACTTCTACTGTTAATAAGATTTTGGTAGGCTGCTATTAGATGGATAGCCTAAATCTCCTAATTCAGATGGGCTACCTGTTTTTTTTTTTTAATGCTATATCAAAAAGTGTATATTTTTTAAATGTGATTGTTGGTACATTTTACCAGTTTTTACCATACTTTCAAAACAAAAATTAAAATAGGAAAAATATGCAATATGAAAATAATTGAAGACAAAATGTGTCTTACTGAGAAAAAACAAGATTTGTTTTTTAAAAAGCCTTTTTCCAAAATAATTACTTCTTATGCCATAATTGTTACTATTTTATCTGATAATTATGATTTAGTATGCCATAATTTTAACTTATTATCTCATAATTTTGAGTTGCCATCATTTCTACTTTGTATCTCATAATTATGACGTTTTATCTCATAATTGTGACATGCCATAATTTCAACTTTTTGTCAATTCTGACTTAGCATCACATTCAACTTTGTATCTCGTTATGATGTAGTATCTCATAATTTTGACTTTTTATCTCACAAATATGACATCATTGTATCAATTATATTTATAATCACATAGTTTAAAAGTCTATACTTTCAGCTGTATGCATATGCTAAGCATTCAAGTCAAAACTGACGTATACTTTGAGCTTTTGCAACATTTGTCTGTACAATTCTATGTGCTATGTGCTGCCATCAACTTAAGCTATGCATGACTAGCGAACTTTTTAGGTGCCTACAAACCTTTGATGTTTAGCTCTCTAAAAACTTCAAACAAATGATGCAAGAGCTACGGCTGTACTAACAAGCACAAAGTGACTAAAATTTTACCGCGGTCTTCATTCACATATCTATTGTTTCATCCTCATTTCAAATTTAAGCCTTTTTTCTGGCAATCAAAAAAATACTAGGTGCTCTAAAAAGATACACAATTCAAACATATAGCACTAGGTGTCTCTGTATAAAATTAAAACATACATTATCAACCATGCACTATTTGATATAGAGACCTTTTTAGGGGTCGCTACAAAAATTCAATCCAATGTGTATCGGCTCATACAGGCCTTCATAAGGGTGCCAAAAGAGAAATGATTTAATGGCTTTTTGCAATGACATTAATACTTTTTTTTATAAGGATAGCATAAAGAAATAGTTAACACATTTTGGGGCCACTCTACATGTTCACATGTATGTGTAGCTTCATCTCCATTCTGCCTCCAGCAAAAGATATAGCATATTTCATTTAAAACGTCAGATCCTAATCCAAAACAGCTTCTCCAGATCTGGACTAAAACTTCAAACAGGCTTGACTTCTGAGAGAACATCAGTGGATAGTATGATATGAGTGTGCATCACTTTAACAGAGTATGAACTCACTTGTTTGAGGATCTGGGCAGCCATTATGTGGCTGCAGTCGAAGATAATACGAAACTCTCTGCTCCTTTTCATCTCTTTGAGCAGAGGTCTGGTGTCCGTGGTGTCCAGAGGGAGCTGTCGGATCTTCAGCCTGATGTTATACCTGGATGGAGCCATAATTAACTCCTGGAGTCTGATTAAACCTGCACAAGAAGAGTTGAGTGCCAGAGTCAATTACTTAGTATATCAGCACCAGCTCAAACCAGCCTAGGGGAGTCAAGCAGGTTAGCTGGTATGTTGTTTGTTGAATGTGGCCTAACAGCTGTAATCACCTTGAAGAAGACGGTCTACCACACTGATATCACTAGACATAAACCAATACATTGGCTAGTCCAGTTAATGGGCCAATATTTGGTCAATATTAAATTGAAGTTCCAATTTTGGGATGATTTCAAAAATATGCCATTATATTGTCCACCCTGCACGCACGCACGCACAATCAATCTTTTCTATGCTGGTAATTTTCTGCCAGGACATTATACAGTACAATGAATTCACAGAATAATTTCCTTTAATTCATTTCTTTTAATTTGTACTTGCCATTGAAAGACCAAGTTGACCAACTGGTCTAGACCAAGTTAGATCAATGACCATCTTGGACTAGCTAAAAACCAAGCTCAGATTCAAACCCGGGTCCCTTGTGAGAAGATCTACAAAAATTTTGAAAGCAAAATGCTTCCCTCTGTGCCACAGCTCTGAAAACATGTACTATAAAGCAGACATTCAATTTAACATGCAGTTATCCTGGTTGTACTTTTAATAATAAATATGTTTTTATCACATATTTTGCATCTCAGATGAATTGCTTTCCATTCCCGCTCCTGTCAGAAGCAGCATTGCTCGATTACTTTGATGCAAACGGTTTCTAGAATATCGAGGCCTGAAGACAGCAACAGGAAAATTAAGAGACTTCTGCTTCTTATCACTGAAGTACAGAGTCTAAAATACACTTTTAAAGGTGGCGGTCCCACTTTGGCTGCAAGGACTTCATCAAGTAACACAGTTTACAATGACACGCTGACATAAAGCCATTATCTCTCACCTGTGCTGTCATCGTAAACCACGGTGGCTGTCTTCCACTTGAGGAACTGCACCAGGTCTAAGATAGCGTAGCTGAGAGAAGAGTAATCCGGGTACAAGTTGGCATAAAATGTATCCCTATTGTCCATCGGGTGGTGTTTCCATCGCACTTGAATGTGTGGCACCTCCAGGGCATTGCAGATAGACTGTACAGCATTCGATGAGGAGCTGTGAGACGGCCCAAATATGGCAACTACACCTAAAGACAGCTGGTCACACGCTGGCGAGAGCAGACGGTGGGTCATGTGGTAAGCAATGTCAAAACAGAAATGTCACTGCATACAGAATATTCCTTTGTACGTTTTACAAAGCAGTGGTAAGTTTCATTTTGTCATAATTTGTATAGATAGAATAGCAATATTAATTACACATATATTCACAATAGTACTGTTTTTACTGTGTTTGTGGTCAGAACATGAGGCCTTTAAAGTGGGTTTTGGCCTAAGAAATATATTAAGAGTTAACAAAAGTCATTGCTTACTGGTAAAAGAGTTAAAGGTTACATTTACTTAAAGGAATAGGTCACCCCAAAATGAAAAGTTGCTGAAAATGTACTCAAGCCATACAAAATGCAGATAAGTTCTAAACAAAAATGCTGGTGTATATACAGGACAAAAGGAGATGGGATTTTTTTATTGGAGGAAGCGTTATTAAGGATTATGGGCTGGTATTTTGTGCAGAAGTAACTGTTTAAAGTTAAAAGGCCTTAATAACAGATTTGTTTCTTACAAACTTGCAGCTTTTTCCCAGCAGGCACCAGACGTCTAATGTCAGACAGACGTTGCATTTTGGTTGAAAATGAAAATCGGGTTGGCGTCAATATTTGACGTCAATTTGACGTTGACTTAACATTGGATTTTGGTTACATAACCTAAAAACAACAAAATATCAACGTCAGCTGATGTCGGTATTGGAGATCAATTCAACATTGAAATTAGACGTTGAATTTACATCATGACGTTGTGTGCCTGCTGGGTTACTTCACAAGGCGTTAACTGATGGACTGATTATTGTGATGGTTTTATCAGCTGTTTGGACTCTCATTCTGACGGCACGCATTCACTGCAGAGGATCCATTGGTGAGCAAGTTATGGAATGCAACATTTCTCCCAATCTGTTCCCTTGAACAAATTAACATATATCTTGGATGACCCGAGGGACTAAATGTTCAGCAAATTTTCATTTTTGTGTAAGTAGTAGTCTAAACACAGCCACAAAGCTTTACATTTTCACACAACTCACCTTTTCTGGAGGCTTCAAAGCTATCATAGATATTAATCCTCTGAATGTCGTATGTTAACGTTGTGTTGGGCAGTAATGTCCTGTTTCTGTTGATATTATTAACTGCAAATTTAAAGGCCAGTTCCTCGGAGCTGACGAGCGCCACGGGTCCATCCATTTGTTCAAAAATTCCACCTAAAAAACAAGAGAAATCACTGTCAAATGAACCAAAGCTGATCCCGGAAACGAAGCCTGGCACCACATCCAAACCTCTGGAGGTGTTTTGCATTTAGAGCTGTCGGCTAGCTCGCTTGTGTACTTAAGCAACCCTTTTCGATCTGCTCAGCAGAAAGAAAGAGTGTCTGACAGTCATAGCTCAGGCTTTTAAAGTTCAAGGCCATAATGGAGATGAGGAGAGTGAAAGAGAGAAAGAGAAAAGTAAATGGCTTCATCAAAGGTACCTTGCCTCCTTAAGGCCTGCAGGTCACCTTTCATTCTCTGTTAAAATATACACAGGCCTATAGCTTGTGGATAGAGTTTTTGCACAGAGGTTTGAAAGTTTAAAGCCATTTGGGCAAATTCATTTCATAACAATCTGCTGAGATTTTCAGAAATGCATTTTACTGCCAAGATTCCACCAGTGGAAGAACTGGAGAAGTAAACTCTGTGTTTATTGACTTTACTGTGCAATAGAACCCTATAAAAACAATAAAATGATAACATCTGGAGCACGCTGAGCAATCTTCAGCCCTTGAGGATTATTGCTGTTAGACCTGCTTCACCTTTCCAGAGTATATCAGCAATATGATGGTCTCGAAGCCAAAGACAAATGAGCAGAGAGAAATATTGGAGGAGCAAAGTTTGTTCGGTTGTACAAAATTAAATTTCACATATTATCGGTTCATGCTATTTGGGATTTAAAATACTATTAGCACTTTCCACAAGAAGAGTACAAAATAATGGCTGAAACTTGAAATGGAGTGATTTATTATTATTATTATTACTACTACTACTACTACTATATAAAATTGTCAGTACTTAGAAAAATATAAAAAAAATATTCTCTTTAAATAATGTTTGCATTTTTGTAGCAGGTTTGTAACTGAAAAAATAACATATTGAAACCAAATAAAATATAAACCAAATATTGGTTTATTTTTATTGATACACTTATATTTTACTACTACTACTACTACTATATAAAATTGTCAGTACTTAGAAAAATATTAAAAAAATATTCTCTTTAAATAATGTTTGCATTTTTGTAGCAGGTTTGTAACTGAAAAAAATAACATATTGAAACCAAATAAAATATAAACCAAATATTGGTTTATTTTTATTGATACACTTATATTTCCCATGAATGCAAACATATACAGTACATAAACATACATTCATAGGCCTACATTTTATTTATTAATGTTCTTACAATACTTTTGATAACAGGAGTAAAATGCTTGAGCATGAAATAAACGTCAATACTTATATTGTGTCCTGTATATCACAATATTGATTGATTGATTGATTTAAATGGGGTTTATGAAGGGATTGCTCAGCTGATCAACTGATTTGCTTAAAATGTTCTACTTGCCATGCATTTTAATTTATATAATCGTTTATCTAACATGTTTAATACTTTTCACAACAAATCTATGGGATTTGTTATTGTAAAGCTTTAGACCAGCAATGGGATGCCAACCTTATTCGTGGAAAGTGCCTGCTGAATTTTATAGTGCGTAAGCATACCAGATAAACACTATGCCAAACACAGAAGAACCCTTGGGCTTTTTTTTAGCATTTCTTTTTAATATTTCCAATCCTGCTTTTAAAGTCCGTCGCATGTAGATCCATGAATGCATGAATATTTAAGAGTTCTTGAGTCAGACTTCAGCACAGGTCAAGAATGACCTGAACATCGCTGTTATTCTCCCAGAGGAGAAGAGCTCAAGTACGAGGCTGCAGGGGAGATCACAGGCCTACAAACCAGAGAGCAACGCAGCATCCCCTAAGCCATGCACACTATTTATGACTCCAGCGCTGCTTGACTTCTGAAGGGACATGATGCATAAACTCCCTGGAAAGAGCCCCGGCGCATTTAAACAAATGAATCCTGCCGTTTTGTGGGGAAATCTCATTAGAGTACATTAAGTAATTGCTGGAGTATATACTAATTTGACTATTAAGAGGATAAAATGTGCATTGCTCGGAAGCACTAAAATAGATTTAATAAAAATGGGAGATCAGCTGCTGCGAGGAGAGAAAAAAACGCCCCGCAAATAGCTTTACAATGAATGCGGCTGTTTCCAGATATACAAGCCATAAAGCAAAACGCTTGCGACTCCTCCATCAAACGGCAGAGAAGACGCTTGTTTCCGATCAGGAGAATCTCTATGAATAAACAGATACGACAAGTTAATGGCGCAGGATATTTACGCTGATGTACGGCTCTGTGCTAAACGGGGTCTTTAAAGGGCTAAATGTAAATTGAGCTGTAACTTTTGATCTGAGATTTCTTGCACATCTTTCTCTAACATCAGTCAGTTTAAGTTGCGATTAAGTTGTTTCCTCTTTTGAAACAGCTTTACAATGGCGGCCTAATTAATCTCTTGGGTTGTAGCCTGATAGAGAAAACATGTGCTCATTACAGCTGCTACCTTTACTAATACGGCTACCAGAAGACCTCTTTACAATGCACTAGTATTTTAGGAGCACTGCAAAGTAAGACTGTAAATCGCAACACAATTATATAAATTCTTAGCGTGTGATTCGCATCGGGGCTAGTGGTGAAATAGTGTTTCTGAATGAATCTCATACTGATATCTTCTCCATTTTGAAGCATGTTTTTTTGAATGTGACACCGGACAAGTTTTCAGTTCCCGTGTGTAGGTGCAGAAATATTAAATATCTAAAATAAAATATAAGTTACTTAAATTAACTTTATGTTTTACAGTACAAAATGTTATTTGTCTATTGTGCAATGCAAATAATTGGTTTGCAGGCGCAAGGTTAGAGACTCTCAATGTTTGTCTATTTTATGTGAACGCAAGATAAATCCCCTTCCTTCTGCCTGTTGTGACAAATGCAAGGTGAGGTCTGAAACACTGTTTGTGGGAATTGCAAAAAAAAATAAAAAATTGTAAAAAAAAAAAAGCATGAAACCGAAGCAAGATTTTACTGGAATTAGACAAAAAAAAAACTGCATCAATCTCTACTTGCAAGATTTTGTGCGCAGGAGCGGGGGGAATTTAAAAAGAAATATAAATATGTTTAGTGGGAGCATGACAGAATTTTGCGGGACCTGGCGCAAAGAAAAAGAAAAAAAAAACACGCAGAACCCAACCTCTAAGACTGCCACCTGCTGGTGTAGGTGAGTAACATAAGGCGGGTTTGGGTCTGAGTCACTGGGATTGAATCACCACCATTAGCTTCAACGCACCTTCCCATACAAGCATCATGTGAAGTGATTTCTAACAGCAATAAAACAGTTTACTATTCCAAATACGGTCCCACTTTATATTAAGTGGCCTTAACTACTACTTACAATTTAATTAAGCATTTGGTACAATGCACTTATTGTGTACATACATGTTTTTACATTGTACTTGTATTTTAAAAACACCTGCATGTAATTACATCTGTAATTAATTTCTGTAATTACATTTATAATTACACTGTTGATCCATCCCTTACACCTTAACCCACCTTAAATCTATCCATACCACCAAACCTGTCCCTAACCTTACCTGTATCCCACCTCAATAGCAGCAAAAGTGTTTTGCAATACAATATGAACACAATAAATACAATGTACTTATTGTGTGACGTAAGTACATAGTGGTTAAGGCCGCCTAATATAAAGTGGGACCCAAAATACTGCATAAACAGTGAGAATAATACAAGTAAAACAAATTGGTAACAAGTTTAGAAAAAAAAAAAAAAAGATTGTTATGTTCAGGTCTTGGTGAATTTAAGGGGATAGTTCACAGAAAAATAGAAGTTCTGTCATCATTTACTCCCCCTCGTCATTCCAAACCTATAAGACTTTCATTCGTCTTCGAAACACATGACGAGATTTTTAATGAAACCTGAGAGATTTCTATCAACTGAAAGTCCAAAACTTTGATTCTTTAAAAAGCTAATTATGAAATAAAAGAATATGAATTGAGCGGTTTAATTAGTTGAATCCATTTAATGGTAAATGGAAGCTCAAATGTGCAAGAATGATACATGAAGAAGTAAAAAAATCATTTGAGCTTTCAAATAAAAGCCTATATTAAATTTGTTGATCATACAAAGCAATCGTGTCTCTTCAGAAGACTTGGATTAAACCGTTCGGCTCATATGGATTACTGTTATGATGTCTTTATGAACATTTTGATGCATTAACGTTTTAGTGGAAGAGAGGGACAGAAATCTCTCACGTTTCATTAAAAATATCTTCATTTTGGTTTTAAAGATGAACAAAAGTTCAAATACTTTACATTTTTGGGTGATAACATATTTAGCATAGCAACAAGACTAACTTGTCTTGCAACTTATTTTTTACCCATAATAAAACATCATGCAAACGTTTAAAAGGTTTGAAAGTTCAGCAATAAACAGAATCAAAGTTAAAAAGTCTGAACTGTTATAACCAGAGCCTGAAATGAACACAGTGTTACTCACCAGTTTTGTTTATTTATTTATTTATGTATTTGTTTGTTTTTATTATTATTTTTTTAATAAATTCTAACAATGACTGAGAATGGGATATGGTTTAGCGTGATTACCAAATCGCAAATAACGCAATGAAATTGTAAAAATCTGATGCACTGCGTATTTAACTGTGATCTTTTCACATGAGCAGCTCATGCTAACAGAGTTTTAGTGTTTTGATTCACAGTAAATGCTGCTCCACACAAACTCCAGCTCTGCAAGCCACATATAGTGTGTATTTAAAAATGCAACATGCGCCAAGATTCTTCCCAATTTTGTATTAACAATGGTTTATAAATCTATTGTCAACAAAAGAGAAGCATTTCATTTTCACCAAAATAAAAGCTCTATGATTTAATATGTGAAAGCAACATAAATAAATAAATGCATCATTGTTATATTATTATTATTATTATTATTAGTAGTATTATTATTAACATATGAAATACTTTGCAGTTCAATAGTATAACTGTAAAATAATAAGAATAAATAAATAAATA